TAATTAAGTCAATCATGTTTTTCATATGTATGTGTGCTATCTATATATATTATTTATACACACCAACCAAACACTAAACGAATTTGTGTCGGTTTTGGACAACCGCTGAAATAACCGTCATAAATCATATTTATGTCGGTTCAAAATCGAGTCAATTCATTAAATAAAAAACACATTTTTTATTTTAATTGTAACATTTGTCTCGGTTGACTAACCAACTCAAATCACCACATTTTTTATAAAAAAAAATTGTCCGGGCCAGACGCATCTAGTCGCCGGCCTGTTTCAATCTCCGTTAATCTATCCACCCGCCAGGCTTGTTTCTTTCTCACGAAAATCCAGCCACCACGACGAATCTGCATCCACCCTCTCCGTCGTTCACCTCACGCAAATCACCCACTTTGGGTCTCAAATCCTCCCCACCGACCATTTTGCGTCTCACGCCAAATAAATCTGGCTCTTCGCTGGATCTTCGCCGCCTGGCTCTGGATCTCCAACGGATCTTACAAGCTGTCTCTGACCGTTATTCTGTAGAGCATGTCGGAAACCCAGAATCTCAAGCTTGCTTCTCCAGAAGCAATCATCTTTCTATATTGTTCGGAAACCCAGAATCTCCTGCTGTCTTTGCAAGCCATTGGACCCAGAATCTCCAGTTCCTCTCAATTCGCCAGCGGCCTCCCCTGCTTTCCTCCCCTCTTTCTATGAATCCCAACATGGCTACAGAAAAGGAACCACCAGATCCAGAGAACACAAGGGCACCCAAAAACCCAGGCACATAGAAAACAGAATCCCAAATCCAAACCCAGCTCACCCTCGCTCAAGCCCTTCATTTTTCCTCCTCCCAACCACTTTACCACCGCCTCCACAACCCCCTGAGTTGCGCCGCTGTGGCTTCTAGTGTGGGTGTACCACCATCTGAAATCAATTAAAACAGGACCCAACACATGCTTGGCCTTCATTTTGTGGAGAAGAAGGAGACGAATCGCCAAATCGGGACACTGGTGGAGACTAAGAAGCCTGCGATGGGAGATTTTTAGGTTGAGGTGGTAGTGGTCGTCACCATGGATAGAGAAGAGGGAAAATTTGTGGAGAAAAGAAGAACAGTGAAGAGGGAAGCGACTAATCAAATTAGGGAAAAAGAGAGACGGATAAAAATCTAAACAAGGCACATTGGGAGGGAAATCTCCCGCTTGGGAAATTTTGGCCAGGATTGAAATATTAAGAGCCAATTTGGGTGGGAAGGGGGTATTTGGGCGGGTATGTGAAAATATTTTAGAGTCAATAACCCAAAAAAATTGAAATTGAACTTTGTGCCAGTTAAGAAACGACTCAATTCAAATAATTGTGCTTGTTTTGGCAGACTCAAATGTTAACCGACACAAATATTAGAGAATTGTGTCGGTTGCAGATTTAACCGACATAAATAGCAAAAGAATGGCATCGGGCACTTACCCGACTCAAATAACCGACAAAAATTCTAAATTTTGTGTCGTTTAAGTTAACAAACACAAAGCAACCGGTGCAAAACATTGTTTTTCTTGTAGTGAAATGTTTATAACCCTTCTAGGATTTTTATTTATCTACTAAGACAGACAATGAGACTATTATGGTATTATGTGGTTCAATTTAATGGCAATTGTCAATACAAAGTAGAGCTTTATTCTTGGTGGGAAAGATGAAAAAATAATAGGGCAAAGTCACGTAAACTTTATATATATATATATTATCTACATATAATATTATGCACTAAAATATATTATGTAGTATTAATCGTTCTAATCGGGCGGGTTCGGGTTGGGTTAATCGGGTTCGGGTTAGTCGGGTTGCGGGTCAAGCGGGTTGCGGGTTAAGCGGGTTGCGGGTCAAGCGGGTTGCGGGTCAATCGAATTCGGGTCAAGCGGGTTGTGGGTCAATCGGGTTGCGGGTTAATCGGGTTACGGGTTATTCGGGTTGCGGGTCGGGCGGGTTGCGGATCGGTGACTTTTAGTCCATTCGGGTTGCGGGCGGGTTGCGGATCGGGTTAGTTGGGCGGGTTACTCGGGTCGGGTCATATTTTGACACCTATCAGGGCTAGTGTTGTTATACTATCCGCACCGTCCGTTTCAACCATTTTGTGATTCCCACAAATGAAGAAGGCATGGTGTGGATTGATTTTGCTATTCTATAGTATTTCATAAAATATACAATTTGTGGTGATCGTAAACTTTGGTGTCTTTCTTTATGTACTCAATAATAATCGGAATTATTGGTATTGCAAGAAACCAATATGATTTTGAATCAAAGGACATCATCCACGATTTTAAAATGAGGTTCTTCTCCTTTACAATTTTTTTTTATGAAAACGCCTGCAGAGCCCTACTACCTTTTATTCAATAATCGAACGGATAGTGAAACCACCTATCGAGTCAAAAAGAGCCCAACGACAAGTATCGGGATCAGAAACATCAATTACATGGTGACCAGGTGACCAGGTGGCAATAGAGTGCCCCATGTGAGCTAGACAGTCAGCCAAGAAATTGGTTTCATGATAAACATGGATGAGGCGGACTTCCACTTCCCAGTCGCGTCGTAGAGCTATTGTCGTCCTAGAAGGCTAAGGTAAGACTCGCGTGCTGGTGGTTATGTTGGATGTTGCTCTGGAGTAGAGCTATTGTCGTCCTAGAGTCCACCTGCAATTCCACTTGGCGGTGGTCTGCACTGCATCCCACGCCATTTAGAGGCCTCTGAGCGCCCCCCAAAGTTCTGCACGAGTAATGGAACACTTCTCCTTTACAAATTAAATGATGCATTTATAGTTAATCCGTGGCGCCACATATCTAGTGCAAAAGTTCATTGGTATTCGGTAGGTAACCGGTAAACCGGTTACCGACTTTACCGGTTTTCGGTATACTGAGTGTGGGTAAGTGGGAATCGATTACCGATACCGGTTTGTAACCGGTTTATCGGTTACCGAATTACCGGTAAACGGTTACAAACCGGTTTTACCGACTTACCGTAAAGAATAGTTGCGGACGGTTTTTCGGTTCGGTTTACCGGAAAATTACCGAACCGAATTTCTGGGCAATGGAGTGATGTTGTAATATTTTGATTTTTATAAGTTTTTTCTTCATTTTTGTAATTAATAAATTATTATTAACTCTTATTTATAATATTTTTAGGCCTATACTTACTTTCATTCATGTATGTAATATTTGTGAATAATGAAGTATATGTTATTAGTTAATGCTTTAACTGGTCTGGTATCGGTATTACCGAATTACCTTCGGTATTTTACCGATACTGGGGCCGGTAAACCGAGCTTCCCCATTTGACCCTCGGCTGCCGATACCGCCGATTACCGGTTCGGTAAAACAGTAAACCGTTTACCGACTTACCGTTTGTCACCCCCTACATTTCATGGCGTTAATAAATAAAAAAATTCATTTCATGGCGTACCTACCCCTTCGCATAATGGCAGGAACAATAGTTTAGATTGGTTTGGCTGTCTTCAAAGCTTCGTAATGCAATGGGGACTCTTACTCTTAAGTCTCGAGGATGGGACTGCTTTGTGCTTTGGCACGTCGTATTCTCGGAAACAATAATCTGTTTTCATTTATTTGGGGGGATGGACAGAGACTTAGAGGACAGTTTTTTAAAATATTCACTCAATTATGTCACGTATAACGAAAAAGTTAAATTAACCTATTCGTTACCAAAATACCACTTCTCCTACTATCTTCAGGGCCACACAATGCCAAAGCATTAGAAAGGGTAAAGCAACGGGAAAGACGACAAAACAAAACACTTCAATCGTTCATAATGTTAGTTTGATATTGTAGTCAGCTTTGATCATCAAGGAAAGAAGAAGAAGAAAGATATTTATCAAACAGATGACTCATCTTATGTATTCACTCTAAAAAACAGAAATAAAAAACAACATACTATTTTACTAACAGGCCTCAGCATCAATGTCTGAATCATCACTAACATCAACAATCTTTGGATCAATCACTCCAGTATTCAGTCTAAAACAGATTTATCAATCAGATGCAACATCTGATGTATTCAGTCTAAAAAAGAAATCAAAAACAACAAACTAGTTTACTTACAAGACTGTCTGAATCACCATAACTGGCCTATGCATCATTGTGTGAATCATTCACTACCATCACCAATCTCTTCATCACTCCAGTATTCAGTCTAAAACAGATTTATCAATCAGATGCTACATCTGATGTATTCAATCTAAAAAAGAAATCAAAAACAGCAAACTAGTTTACTTACAAGACTGTCTGAATCACCATAACTGGCCTATGCATCATTGTGTGAATCATTCACTACCATCACCAATCTCTTCATCACCCTATCCTGCAGCAGCTCATAATACGGAATGTCTCCAAATATCTTCAAAGCTATTCTTGATCACCCACTCCTGCAGCAGCAGGATCAACGACTAGGTCATTATATGGGATGCCTCCAAATATCACCAACAACTCTGCTCTGGTGGCATCTCTGTCATCAGTAAGGGGCGCGACCAGTTCTTGCAACACATGAATGTCAGTATCCAGCTCCAAGTTTCCTGCCAATCTGCCTTCGTACAGTGTAGTAAGGGCACCAAAAATCAATTCTATGGCATAATGAGACCTTCCCTTGAGTAAAAAATTATGGACTTCAGGCCTCCTCATAAAGAGGAGGACCTGCCTCACAAGTACTGGATCAAGGCCAGCTCCAACCAAAAACAGCTCCACAGCATTACTGGCTTGAATGACAGGAGCTGCATAACCAGCAGAAAGAGGTCTTGCAAGTGCATTGGCAATCTTAAACTGTACCAACATCTCAGGAGTTACTTCATCTCTGTTCACTCTAGCTTTTCCCCTCTTTGCGAGATCTATAAGCGAGGTGTACTTGTCCTTCACTTGTTCTCTCGTTCGGTAGCTAGATGACAAATATTCTTCACTAATCTCTTGCCACTTTCCTTTTCCATACTTGAACAAACCAGATATTATATTCTTCACCTCCAGTCTGGTCCAGTTACGGTTGGACCTTGTTGGATAAGCCTCGATGTCCAGGATGTGCCCCACGACATCTTGCCGGGCAAGGGTAATAAACTGGGTAGCTGCACCAGAACATAGCTGAAATTCGGCGGCATTATCTAACATCTGACGATAAAGAGGATCCTGATCATTCTGATTCGGCCCACTAGCAATCTGTATAATGGAACGTAGAAGTTCCAAAGCCAAGTTGGCACTCACAATCTCTAGCAGTTTCTTCAAATCTTGCCGTGCCAAGAGGTCAAAGACCCTCTTCTGCTGTGGAATAGACAACCCTTTCAGGGGAATCATGACACCTGAATCCATAGCTGAAGAAGAAAAAACAGGTTATCAGGTCGATTCAGAAGGCACTCAGATGAAAGAAACCATAGAACTCGCAAACGTGCACACTATGAATCGAAAGTCGAATAAACCCTAAGAAACACCAAGTAACCCTGGATCGATGACAATCAATCGGTGGGAAACGAAACCCAAAGGCGACAGACATCAAAAACAATTATGACAACTGAATCAATAGCTGAAGAAGAAAAAACAGGTTATCAGGTCGATTCAGATAGCACTCAGATGAAAGAAACCATAGAACTCGATAACGTGAACAGTATGAATCGAAAGTCGAATAAACCCTAAGAAACACCAAGTAACCCTGGATCGAAGACGAAGACAACCAATCGGTGGGATACCAAGGCGACGGACATCGAAAACAATCAGTCAGAGTCAAAGTGCAATCGAAAACAATTAGATACTCGGGCGAATCAGAGATATTGCGGCACTATAAGGAACGAAGGTCGAATAAACCCTAGATCGAAGGCAGCCAATCGGTTGGAAACCAAACCACAACAGCGACGGACATGGAGAACAATCTACCGGAGCGAAAGCGTAATCATAAACAATCAGTTTCTCGGCAGAATCGGAGATATTGCGGCAGAGTAAAGTAGAGGAAGATCACCTGCGACGACGGACGACAAAGAGCTGGGAATAAGGATCGAGAAGGCGAGGCCGAGATGGGGCACTCTGTGAAGCAAGAGACAATTAAACCCCCAAGAAACGAAGTCAGTCGCAACGGACAACCAAAACAATCAGTCGGAGTGCAAGCGAAATCGGAAACAATGGAGGAATCGTAGATACAGTGGAAGAAAGAGTAGGCGAATTTCACCTGCGGCACCGGCGGAAAACAGCGGGAGACAGGACTGAGGCGGAGGAGCTGAGAGCGAGAGATTTGGCGGGACGTTTTCTTGTTCTTCTTTCGCTTGGGAGAGGAAAAGGGGGTGAAAGAAAGGGGAAAACGGTTTGCTTTCAAAATGATCTGGGCGGGAATTATATTACCACCGACTTACTTTTTCTTTTGGGCCCTTTCGACATAGCTGGGCCGTCTTGGGTTTTCGAAGGCTGGAAAATAGCTACTTGCCTTAAGCCCTTAACCACGCAAAAACTTAACAGATGGAGAAGAGTTTTTTTTATATTATTTTTTTTGGAAATATACCGATCTATAAAACCATCTTCTAAAGAGCCAACCATGTTAGTGTTGTGGTATATGATCCACGATTGAACCTCTTCCAACAACTCGAGTTATTGGGAGCAACTGGTTCTTGACATGGTATCAGCTTTTTGTGACCGAGAGGTCTTGTGTTCGACTCCCGGTGACCCCCAATTTGTTAAGCACATGGTATTTTTGTCTTCAGACCCGTGCAAACTTCAAGCCCTTGTGAGTGGCTTTCGTTTGAGGGGACGTTTTAGTGTTATGGTATATGATCCACGATTGAACATCTCACAACAACTTGAGTTATTGAGACCAACTGGTTTATGACATGGTATCAAAGCTGGTTTAACCAAGTGGTCGTGTGTTAGAATCTCCACGACCCCCCAATATTAGCAGTTGTCTTCAAGCACATGGTATAGTGGGCCTGTGCAAACTTCAAACACATGAGTCGACTTTCGTTTGAGGGGGCGTGTTAGAGAGTGGTATAAGATCCATCATAACCGTCTCCTAACAACTCGAGTTATTGGGAGCAAATGGTTTATGATATTCGGTAAGTAAGTCGGGACGAAGGGATTAGAACAAGAATCCATTGGAAATAGATCATTGGATGATGTATGGTTGCAAATGAGTGAAACTGCTTACAAGTGGTTTGGTGTTCTATTCGGAAAAAGTTCGTTCGGTACTTGATTCACTTATAACGAGTCTAGTCTGACCTAATTCTTGTTCAGCTAGCAAGACTCATGAGGTAGCTCGACTTGATCACTTGTTGAGCTCAGCTCTTGAGCTAGCTCGTTTTGAGCTACAAGCTGACTCGATAATATGGCTAGCGAGTCATCTTAATTAGCAACTTATGAGCGAATTAATTAATAGTTTTTGTTGTTTTGTTGATAATTATAGGTTTGTTAGAGTCATATTTTCCCACATATGATGTTCAAGAATCTGAGCATGTGATCAAATATGTCTCATTTACAATTTAAAAGAGAAATTGAGAGCCATAGATTGCATAGAAACTAATTACTATTAAATAACATGATATGAACAATTAAAATTTATGAACTAAATGATATGATCCATGAGTTTGAGCTGATCTCGCGAGCTAACTGATGAGCCGAACTCGAGTAGAGCTCGTGAACTCACTATTGAGTCGAGTTCGAGTCAAACACAAGCCAAAATTTTCGTAAACAAGCGGAGTTCGAACTTGAATCATTCATCACCGAGCAGCTCAAACTAGGTCAAAAAACTCAGCTCGGCTAGACTTATCTGCAGTCTTAGTTGAATGGCGTACTACTTATCGGTTTTGATATAATTATAATGTTTGTATTTTTAATAAACAACTAGCGCCCATGGCCTAATGGATAAGGCGCTTGACTTCTAATCAAGCGATTGTGGGTTCGAGTCCCACTGGGCGTGATGTTTTTGCTTTGAATTGCTTTTGAACAAAAAATAGATTTGCTGTGTTGCATTTTGGGTTTTCCATGGTTTTAAGAAGTTCCAAATCCATACCTTGTCAACTCAAACACTTGTACTAAGCTCAAATCATATCACTCAAAACCGAACCATTCAAATTATACTCTCAAAGATCGAGAGCTCAAGTGATACCCATTACAATCAAACGGGAACTAAGATTAAATATTCTTCAGATCATGGCAAAAAATACGAATGAGTATGAATAAAAATATTCAAACCTTGCTGGATTAACTAATAGAGTGCCTTCAATACATTTATCCAAACCATGACAAAAAAAACTATAATCCCCAGAAAGTAGAAGCTAACCACTGCAAAAATTACCTCCCAAGAACATATTATATATGTATGACCCCCCTAAAGAACACTAAACAAGACCTTTGCCAGATAGTGCACTTGACCCATCATCATCGTCTGATTCAAACAGTCAGATACGTCTTGAGAAGCTTAAGATTACGACTAGGAATTAAAACAAAAAGAACCAAAAACTGAAAAGGAGAGAACAGCAATAAGTTACGAACAGCGCTTGCATAAATAAGAACAGAAAAGATGAGAAACCTCTTCTCTTCCTTCCTTCTCAACGCAACACCAAAATATTTCCACTTGGTACTCTCTTCACAGGAGATCGGCGACATTGGAAGGCAGCTCCTCGATCATAACATTGTAGAACTTCTGGATGTCAAACAGCATCCTCTCATCGTCCTTAGTCACAAAGTTAATGGCAACACCCTTCCTCCCAAACCTTCCACCTCTTCCAATACGATGGAGGTAGTTCTCTGGTTGAGTCGGAAGATCATAGTTAATGACGAGAGACACTTGCTGCACGTCGATACCACGAGCCAGGAGATCGGTGGTGATCAGGACACGGGAAGATCCAGACCGGAACTCCCTCATGATGATGTCACGGGTGTTCTGGTCCATGTCACCATGAGTCGCTGAGACGGTGTGGTCACGCGCTCTCATCTTGTCAGTGAGCCAGTCGACCTTGCGTCTTGTATTAACAAATATGACGCTCTGGGTGATTGCTAGGGTTTCATAGAGATCACAGAGGGTCTCGAGCTTCCAGTCTTCCTTCTCGACATTGACATGGAACTGCTTGATACCTTCCAAGGTCAGCTCATCACGTTTGACCAAGATCCTGACCGGCTTGTTCATGAACTTCCTGGTGATCTCGAGAGCCTCAGGAGGCATAGTGGCAGAGAAGACGCCTATCTGGACTTTGGCAGGAAGCAACTGGAAGATATCATAGATCTGGAAACGGGCCAATAAAACAAAGTCAGTTCAGAAGCTGGATAAATAAAGAGAAGTACAGATGTGCCAAGTAGGTTGGCTTGGTGGGTTAGCTTGATATTTGCCATTTCTAATATAAAAATGGTAGGAGGCTACAGTTACTTGCAGAACTGACCTGATCCTTAAAACCACGGGAAAGCATTTCGTCAGCTTCATCAAGAACAAACATCTTGATGTAATCTGGACGAAGGGACTGCCTCCTCAACATGTCAAATACACGACCAGGGGTACCGACAACAACATGAACACCAGCTTGGAGAATACGTTGGTCCTCGCGAACACTGGTCCCACCCACACAAGCATGAACCTTCACCCCAAGATAATCTCCAAGTGCCCTCATGACCTTCTCAATCTGTTGAGCAAGTTCCCTAGTGGGAGCCAGGACGAGTGCTTGGCACTGGACTATATTATAATCAAGCTGCTGCAGTATTCCAGAGCAGAAAGTCGCTGTTTTCCCAGTTCCTGACTGAGCCTGCTGAATGACGTCAAGTCCCTTGCAGAAAGGGACAATACCCCTCTGTTGGATGGCAGATGGCTTCTCAAAACCTGAATCATAGGATTGGGAATGGACAATCAGAATCATCAAATAACATTACTTGAGTGTCCACTCGGCTTCGATTCCCACAGGAGTGCAGAACTTACCATAAGCATAGATACCCCTAAGCAGGTTTTCTTGCAATCCCATTGCATCAAAACTTTCATAGACTTCGTCATACGCAGTGAAGAAATCTTGCGCATCACTTGAGAGCCTGGAAGATTTTTTAGAACGTATATCAGGCCATCAGGCTGACGTCACAAGCAAGACCACGGAACATGCTACTATCCTCAATCTGCAGACTGAAAATAGTACACAGAACTTACAGCTCAGTCATCTTCTTATCAAATTGACGAGCATCAAACTGCGAGCCTTCTGGTGCCTCACCTGCCATAACTGCAAAACAGAAAACTACTTATTTTACTCGCATATCGAAGTGAAATGATAACGACAGTGGAAAAATAGCACATGACAATATAACTGAAGCAGAGACTACAGCAAAATGAAACAATTCTAGGTTACTTACTACTATAGAGCAGGAAGAGCAAAAATTCTAAGTGTCACAGAAGAGCCAAACTTGTAAGCCAAACAACAAAAGGATTACAAGCATTAAACTTCTGCATCTATATCTGGAGAAGCTGAGCATAGGGGGTAAACAGCCCTCAGATACAAAGAAAAAGGCAAGGTGCTCACTTGCTTCCCCAGATTATCAAGCCAATGAAACACCCACCACCAGACATAAAAGTCATCATCTTTAAGCAATAAGCACACCATACTTCACTATAAAACACTCTAGCAAGAAGAGCAGAAATTCTAAGCGCCACAGAAGAGCCAAACTTATAAACCAAATAACATAAGGATTACAAGCATTAAACTTCTGCTTCTATATCTGGCGAAGCTAGGGATAAGGGGAAACAGCCATCTGATACAAAGAAAATTACAAAGTGCAACACCAGAGACTGTTTTACCCGCTTCGTCAGAGTATCAAACCAACGAAACACCACTCACCACACATAAAAGACATCATCTTAACTAACACTATTAAGAGATGAACCCGTCATCTCACGCCACAGTCCAATATTACATCAGATATTTACCCACCAAGCATCAGATAGTTATAGTTAGAAGTTAGAACAGTTATCGAAGGTCACAATCAAGCCAGCTAATGAGGAAACTCTGTGAATAAATTAACATCATAATCTCACTACCAATTCAAGAACCAGAACGTTAAATGAATAGATCAACCACAGTTCAGAAAGAAAACAATATCTATTTCCCAATCAAACCCAGGAAGTCACAACCCGAATAAGCCACAATCCACACTCCTGTTTTCCCTCGAAAAATTCAACACCCAAACTGTCGGACATAAAAAAAAAATCGATCTTTCTGACAGATCTCTCCATCACCAAATCAATCCAGAACTCCAAACAACGATAAGAACTGAGAATG